TTTGGTGCGGTGTAAATCTTCTATGCTCGTTTTGCTTTTGTTTCATCTTTTCGTTTTGAATTTTGTCACAATGAAGATTTAATTAACTTGGTCATAATTCCATGAAATCTTAACTTTTGGACTTTTAGTCATTTATTGGTATGGCGGTGATTGTAATTCTTAGACTGAGCTTGATTTTGGGGATTAAAGTCTTCAGATTTCTAATTGAAGTTGCTATTAGTCATAATATCCTATTCAAGGCAGGCCTCCAGCAGGATTTCATCAACTTAGGGGACTAAGTATTGTGTATCCTTATTTCCTAGTATATAACAAATTATCAGTTAGTGTTGGACACATAAACAAGTTAGGGTTGGATTATACCTTTAATCCTCTAATTTTTCTTGACTTCAAGTATTTCCTGCTCTTGCTACTTTATTCGACATGATGCAGCAACAATTTTTTGGGAACTGAGAAGTACAGCTGAAATAATTCTCATTATATATGGAACTACCTGGGATCTATAATGATAAGATTGCTTTGTTTTCCTTCTTAAATGATACTCATTAGTCATTACAATCTTGTTCTCTAACTTAAATTGGTGATATCAAAAAGAGGAACAGTAAAAAAGTTAAACAAAAAGTGCACGGTTCTGGGGGATTCTTTTTGTCTTTTTTTTTGTTGGGGGGGGGGGGGGGGAAGAGAGTGGGAGGGAGGAAAAATGAAAAAGTTGGTTTTAAATGTTTTTCTGGTTATCATTACATAGAATTAATTATCAGACAATCAATTTCATAATAAACAATCGGTACATTTCTTGAAGGTGAGGTAGGGCATCGATAAAATTTGTGATTGAAGATGAAGATTCTTATATCCTATACCCTTGTTTGGAATTGTTTTCTTAAATTTGGTGCCTAGAAATTTAAACTCCAATTCATTTGAGCATGTGGATTTTCATAGAACCATGGAGTTTTCACTAAAGGAAATGATTAGGCAAACACAAACTTTAATTATTAAATTGTTGGTGCAATTAATCTTTTTTATATTGTAAGGTAGAGACACAAGAAGACTGAAAATATGACCAATCATTTCTAATCTAATAATCTTTCACAATGTTTATCTACACTAGTGTTCAAGATACACACGAATGTGTGTATAACTAATAAAAGAAATTTGTGCCAAATTTTTTTGATAATTTTTTAAATCATTTTCAAGAGATTTAGTTTTATGTTATAATAGTAAATATGTAGAAAATTCACTGAAATAAAATGTATAAACAAATAATTATTTAGTATAATCCATAACCATAATTGATAGCTGCTAATAAAAATTATGGTTTATTAAATAAGTTGAAAAATAAAATAATAAGAAATACATATTAATTGGAAGAAGGATATATTAAAAGTTGGAAGTGAGTAGTTTTTAAGGATAATTTAAGAAAAACATAAAGTAACACCAAAAAGTTGACACCAAACCCCTCCATCTCCCTTTATATGTAGTGTAGATACAGTTGAAGTAAATTAGCAAAATCAATTTTTAAGTTAACTTTTCATGCTAAATTTTCCTCAACAAAAATTTTTCATCCTTAATTATTCAATAGAACCTCCAGGTTTTGTATAAGCAGGAAATGGGAGTGGGGGAAGATTTGGGACTCAGCTCAAAATGGCTTCTCATGATGACGGGTAAACAATCTTTCTACCACTAAACTCTGTTTGGGCCTTGGTGCCGAACTATTTGTTTAATTATTTCACACATTCATAAAAGATTCTGATATGTAGCAATTGGTCAAAAGCGGACAAGCCCAAAAAGTAGACCAAGAGCAGATGGGTTTTCATGAAATTTCCCCAAGCAAGTCCTTGTCGAGTATGACTCCCAAGTTAGCTAGGACCGCGAAACTTACTACACTCCTTTAAGAAAAACTATGTTTTGAAACTTGGATCATTAATTTAATCGGTGAGTGACAGGTGTCGAACCTGTGCAATAATAATTACTAAAAAGTCCTAATTACCACATCAATTAAGTAATTATAGAACAAATCCAAGTACTGGAGCAGGGACCCTAGGTGTGCAATGGGTTACTTGATTCACTCTGTTCTCGAAGAGTTTGCTTGATCCGATATACCGGATTTGTCTATAAAAACACTAATTTTGCGTACAATGGCAAGTAGGGTCGATTCCACAGGGAGCAGGTAGGAAATTATTTCTTTCCAAATTAGTAGAACGAAATTGGGGGATTTTCAATGGGAGACAAATAAAAATAAAATAAAATAAAACAAACAAAATTCAAAACTAACTCACAAAGCACAATTCACTAAAAATAGCAATTAATAAAAGTTCTACCCAAAGGATCAACTGCTCAGGCACGGTCCAATTAAATGCTCATCGATGCAAAGATATTCCATCCATTTATCACTAGGACAACCAGTTCTTCCTTACCTTTCCGACAGTCAAGGTACGACCATTGACTGCTTCCCTCATCAGATAACAACTCTAGGTACGACCGTAGGAATTTAATTATCCAATTGCATTAAAGTTAGAAGAACCCAACCCTAACCAATAAACACGCTAAGAGGATTTATTTAAACTAGATCCTGTGTTTCCCCATCATAAAACCAATTATGGTGGGTGCCACGGGGTGTTAATTAAATGAACAATTACGGATTCTATTTAATTAACGTGGCAGTAGGCTATTAAATTAAATCAAATATCCGGCCGTTGATATTCAATTAATAAAATACCCATGAACAATTAATTCAGGAAACGCACGAATAGCAATAAACTGGGAAAAATAATGAAGATTCGATTAGATCTCACAGATATTATGGATCGCGCCCTCGCGTCAACCTTTGGGTAGAGGAGAAAATTAGCCGCTTCTCATCATGTCAAGCTCACGCGATTTAATTGATTTCATCCACGCAAACATCACAGAATTTGGAACGATGAAGCACTGAAGAAAGGAAAAATGAAAAGTCTCGCTTGACTCTGCGCGGGGGCCCGTACTGGATTCCCCAAGTTCAATGCCAAAACTCACGGAAATTGAATAGATCCGAAAGTGAAAAGCAAAAGAGTCAGACGCAAATGCCAAAAGCAAGGGAAAGAAAAGTCTTCTCTGTCAGACCCATTCGGCCGAAAAAAAGAAAAGCTAAAGCTACCTAAATTCTATTGTAATTGTTGCCGAATAAGAAAGAAACAAAAGCCAAAGAATGGCGGCTGACAAGGAGTAGTCAAAGGAAATTATAAAAAATACTAAAAGCTAAGGTCTTCATGATGCCTTGAATCTTGCTTTCTTTCCTTTCTTATAGCCGCCGCAGAGAAGTCAAGAAGAAAACAGACGTCTGGCCCAATTGATTGCAACAAAAGCTAGCTTTTGGAGTTTGAATCCCATGCTCCTCGCGGTTCACGTGGACCACGGTCCGTCTTTTCGATAGCGTAGACCTTTTGTGGCGTGGTCACGCTCTGAGACGAAAAGTCTTCTGGAAATTTGCCTCGCGAGATCATTTTTAATGCCGAACACCTATAATTCATGCAAATGTGAGATATGAGTTAAACCTCAGTACTTAGCACAGTAAATAGTCAAAATTAGGACAAAATAACACTGCAAAATGTGCCAAATAACTGCTCTATCAAATCCCCCCACACCTCGACAATGCTTGTCCTCAAGCATTCCGGAGCTCAGAAATACAATTAAGAGAGCAGAGGGTATGTAATAGTCTATACTAGCACAAGCATCTAAGGTCCCTGACAATATCGCCGAGATTAGAACACACCGGACAGGTTGTAATTCAAAGAAGATATGTAAATACTAGGAACCCTCAAATCAACATCACGGAATGCCATTACCATAGGCTTGCACATTTATCACATCTCCACCACTTAAAAGTGAACTAAACACATAGATCAAAGGGACTTTAATAGGGTTGTAATGGGGCTCAGGTGAAAGGCGGGTTAAGAAGGTATAGATAGGGGGTAAAGTGTCAAGAGAATGTCCGAAACTCACCAATAACCACAGTGCTTACCGGAGGAGTTTCACTAACAAGGTAGTTTCCATTTGTTGTACACCCTGTCCAAGTGCCCCAAAATTTTTTCCTTTTTTTTTTTTTGGAGAGAACTGCCCGCAAGGCGTGGGCACGCCTTGTAGGGCATGGTCCTCTGGTCACGAGGTCTCTTCAGTTTTTTTTTTTTTTTTTTTTACAAGGGAGAAAGTCCTGCAAGGTGTGGGCATGCCCTGTAAGCCAAAGTTTTCTGGTCAGTGGCCCTTTTTTCAATTTCTCCCCTTTATACAAGGATAGCATCATATAACTCCAAATCTAACAACACTTGCAACTCCAAATTCATTTGCCTTGCTCAAATGATGAAATCCAGACATCTCTTGACAACACAGGGGTAAACAAGAAAGTTTAAAGAGGTCTCGGGTTAACAAACACGGATAACAACCAAAAGCGAAGGATAAAAGCTCAAATTGGTTCACTATTGGGAGATAAGATGAGGGCTTGATTTTTTTAGGTAGCTGAAGAGGGTTAAATCCTAAATGCCCTTATCATTTCAAATGCATCCAATTCAACAAAAATGTGGCATCGACATGCATAAACTAGTAAGTTCTAGAATGTCAATACCATGTGTGATACCACTCAATCAAACAACATAGAGCAAGCAAGAATAATATGCTCAAGCAAGGGTCAAAAACTCCCCAAAAGTTACAAGAATGGGTCAATTCCTGCATATTCAACACTCAACGACATTGCCAAGAAAAACAGAATGCACAGCTAGCATATTTACCCACATATCCACACACCTTGATTGTGTCATTTATCACAGCAACATGCTCCAACATTAACAAGCATAGAAATAAACAAACTACAATGTTTTCTTTTTTTTTTCATTTTTTTTGAGTAACAAAGCAAAAAGAAATAATGGAACCCACTCCCCCACACCTAAAACCTACATTGTCCTCAATGTAGAAAATACAAATGAAGTATTAGGAGAAAAGAAAAGAAACTTCCCTGACCACCGGGGAGGGAAAGTGAGACACTAAGGCGGAGGAGGTGAGGCGGGGTGAATCCAATGTGAGCGAAGAAGGCCGCCTGATTCTCTGCCTAAATGCAGGCAAAGAGAAAGGCCGCGTGCTGCTGGAGGAGGACCGCGTGCACGGGCAGGGCGCAGAGGCACGCCTGGTGCGTTGGTGGACGATGGCAAGCTAGGGCGGTGCAGAGGAAGGTGGCGGCGGCCTCCACAAACAAGAAAAGAGGAGAAAGAAAGTGAAATCAAGACTAACAGAGAAATTGGAAGAATACTTGCTCAATCCAACGGACAGTGACAGGAATAGGGGGGACAAAGACAAGAGAAGAGTGGAAAAGTAAGGTCTTGGTCAAAAGCCCTCTTTTTCTTTGACTTTCGTTATCGGAAGGGTTGGAAGGCGCGGGCACGCCTTGAAAGTTATAGTGTTCTGACCGTCAATTCCAAAACTTCATTCCTTAGGTGTGACGACCTAGCGTGGGCATGTCTAACTGCCAACTTCCTATCACAAAATAACAACCCACTAAATGACACTAACACTTAACAAAAACTTAAAAAATGTAAGAAAACTAAAACAAAAGAAGCCTTGGGTTGCCTCCCAAGCAGCGCTTTTCTTTAATGTTTTTGGCTAGACATAGCACCACTCTTTAGTCTGGATGTAATTGAATTTTCCTTGTAATTGGTGGCTTTCCTCCGGGATCCACATGGCCATTGAGTGCAACTTTTTTCCTAAATTTTCTCTCCATTTTTACCTCATGAATTTCTTTCATCCTATAGGACTTGTTCGCAGCAACCTTGAATTTACCCCTATAAGAAAATTTAGAAAATTCTTGCACAGAGGGATTAGTGGTATACATAGCAAACACAGAATGAGAGTTAACAGGATGTTTCATTGTATCAAAAATATTAAAGTGGACTATTTCTCCATCAAATTCCATCGTGAGAGTACCCTTACTAACATCAATTTTAGTTTGGGCAGTACTCAAAAATGGTTTTCCTAATATAATGGGTGATGGATTTGGGGCACTTCTATCATCCATGTAAAGCACATAAAAATCAGCAGGAAAAATTAATCCATCTACTTGCACTAAAACATCCTCAACTATCCCATCCGGATAAACACATGTACGATCAGCCAATTGAATTATTATCCCCGTTTCTTTTAAAGGTCCTAAATTTAAGGAATCATAGATTGATTTAGGCATCACATAGGCATCACATTAATAGAAACCCCTAAATCTATCATGGTATTTTTGATACTAGAATGACCAATCTTACAGGGGATAGCAAACATACCTGAATCTCCGCATTTGGGTGGGAGTTTCCTTTGAAGTACAGCTGATACATTCTCTCCTACCATCACTCTTTCATCACCCCTTAGCTTTCTTTTGTTAACGCACAAGTCTTTCAAGAACTTTGCGTACTTGGGTACCTGTTTGATCGCGTCCAATAGGGGGATGTTTACTTGAACTTTGCGGAACACATCCAGGATTTCTTTTTCCTTTTCTGCCCTCTTTGTCTTTTCCAACCTGCAAGGAAAAGGAGCTAGATTAGATGTAATAGGGATCGAAGGAATAGATGTTACCTTAGGCTCTTCGCGAATGCGTCCTTTCTCTTCAATCTCCTTCTCGATTTCCTCTTCATTTCTGCTCTTCGAATTTACCAACTTAGGTCCCTCCACCTCTTTTCCACTCCTTAATGTCATGGCACTTACATTGTTGGGATTTGTCTCGGGTTGTGATGGCAATTTTCCATAGACATGGGACTCCAGGCGGTTAATGGCAGTTGCCATTTGACTCATTCGAATCTCCATGTCCTTCATGCCTGCTTTGGTGTCCTGTTGGAACTGAATAGTGCTCGCGAGCAAGGACCTAGTCTCTTGCTGGAGTTGAGTGGTGGTCGTGGCCAAACTCTTGACAATTTCCTCCAAAGAACTTTCTGAGCTGGAGAACGAGGATTGAGACTTCTGTTGCCAAGGTTGCTGAAATCCTGGTGGACGATTAGAGAATGCATTTTGTGGCCTATCACCATAGCTGAAATTGGGGTGATCTCTCCAACCCGGATTATATGTGTTGGAGTATGGATCGTACTGTCTACGAGGCGCGGGCACGCCTCCAGCCATGTTCACTTGTTCAGCCCCATTCTCTTGCAACAGAAGACATGAGTCAGTAGGGTGGCCCATATTTGTGCAGATTCCACAGGCTTTTACTTGGGGCACATTTCCCACAGCTAATTGTCGAACAACGGATGTTAGCTCCGACAACTGTTGCTGAATAGATGTCGTCTCCACCTCATTAACCCTACGGGTAGGGTTACTCTCACGGAAGCCAAACTGTTGAGAATTTTCTGCCATCGACTCAATGAGTAGCCATGATTCCCTTGGTGTTTTGTTTGCTAATACTCCCCCACTTGCTGCATCAATGATACTCCTGTCGGACGTCTGTAGTCCCTCATAAAAGTATTGGATCAATAGTTGTTCACTAATTTGATGCTGTGGGCATCTAGTGCACAACTTATTGAACCTTTCCCAATAATCATATAGGGACTCCCCGGGATACTGTTTAATACTACATATTTCTTTTCTTAGACTTGCAGCCCGGGAGGCAGGGAAGAATTTTTCCAAAAATTTCTTCTTAAGTTGGGCCCATGTTGTGATACTACCTGCGGATAGGTAGTATAACCAATCCTTCGCTGCATCCTTGAGGGAAAAAGGGAAGGCTCTCAGTCTAATTTGCTCTTCAGTGACCCCAGGAGGTTTCATACTAGAGCACACCACCTCGAACTCCTTGACGTGTTTGTGGGGTTCTTCACCAGAGAGACCATAGAAAGAAGGTAAGAGGTGAATCAACCCCGACTTCAGTTCGAAAGCCGTATTCTCAGCCAAAGTGGGGAACGTGATGCACAAGGGCTGGTGAGTCAGTTCCGGGGCAGCCAGCTCCTTTAATGTTTGGGTGTTGGCCATGCTTATTTCGTCTTCTACTGACTCGTTTGCAATAAATAAGTGCCCTTCTTTTCGTCTCTTGGTCTTTTGCCTCCGCTTACGCGCTGCTTTCTCAACCTCCGCGTCGTATATCAATTCACCTGTGCGAGAAGAACGGGGCATAAACTAGCAAAAATACCAAGGAAAATAAAATAAAATAAAAATAAAAACTGAATTTGAAAAGAAACAAATAATCCAAACGCCAGCTCCCCGGCAACGGCGCCAAAAATTGACAGGTGCCGAACCTGTGCAATAATAATTACTAAAAAGTCCTAATTACCACATCAATTAAGTAATTATAGAACAAATCCAAGTACTGGAGCAGGGACGTTAGGTGTGCAATGGGTTACTTGATTCACCCTGTTCCCGAAGAGTTTGCTTGATCCGATATACCGGATTTGTCTATAAAAACACTAATTTTGCGTACAATGGCAAGTAGGGTCGATTCCACAGGGAGCAGGTAGGAAATTATTTCTTTCCAAATTAGTAGAACGAAATTGGGGGATTTTCAATGGGAGGCAAATAAAAATAAAATAAAATAAAACAAACAAAATTCAAAACTAACTCACAAAGCACAATTCACTAAAAATAGCAATTAATAAAAGTTCTACCCAAAGGGTCAACTGTTCAGGCACGGTCCAATTAAATGCTCATCGATGCAAAGATATTCCATCCATTTATCACTAGGTTGGTTATAGCCATCAATAAGCTCTGACAACCAGTTCTTCCTTACCTTTCCGATAGTCAAGATACGACCATTGACTGCTTCCCTAATCAGATAACAACCCTAGGTACGACCGTAGGAATTTAATTATCCAATTGCATTAAAGTTAGAAGAACCCAACCCTAACCAATAAACACGCTAAGAGGGTTTATTTAAACTAGATCCTGCGTTTCCCCATCATAAAACCAATTATGGTGGGTGCCACGGGGTGTTAATTAAATGAATAATTACGGATTCTATTTAATTAACGTGGCAGTAGGCTATTAAATTAAATCAAATACCCGGCCATTGATATTCAATTAATAAAATACCCATGAACAATTAATTCAGGAAACGCACGAATAGCAATAAACTGGGAGAAATAATGAAGATTCGATTAGATCTCACAGATATTATGGACCGCGCCCTCGCGTCAACCTTTGGGTAGAGGAGAAAATTAGCCGCTTCTCATCATGTCAAACTCACGCGATTTAATTGATTTCATCCACGCAAACATCACAGAATTTGGAACGATGAAGCACTGAAGAAAGGAAAAATGAAAAGTCTCGCTTGACTCTGCGCGGGGGCCCGTACTGGATTCCCCAAGTTCAATGCCAAAACTCACGGAAATTGAATAGATCCGAAAGTGAAAAGCAAAAGAGTCAGACGCAAATGCCAAAAGCAAGGGAAAGAAAAGTCTTCTCTGTCAGACCCATTCGGCCGAAAAAAAGAAAAGCTAAAGCTACCTAAATTCTGGTAAATTCTGTAGTGTATTCACATATTTCAAAGACAGGTGTGGAAAGCAAATGATATGGCCAAGAAGCTGGCACGTAGCAACCTGACATGTACGGAGATGAAGGGAATGTTTCTAAAAAAGTAAGTGGTGACCTATAACCGCGGTGAATGTAGCGTACGGCAAATGTTGGAAATGTATTGGGGTGAAACGGAATTAACATAAATATAATGGGGTAAGGAGTAAAAAAAAACCGGTTAACTTTATTAAAACAACCCCAATTTTCAACTCTTTCGTCCATAATAACAACGCAGTACCTATATTGGAATGCATTTTAGAATAAATAGCCAACTCTTTATGGCTTTCCTGCACTACAACTAAAGATTAAATCCATTTTGGATTCGTCAATCTTATATTCAAACGGGTGTCCAAGTTTAAAAGTTTCAGTTCCCCTTGGCTTTCTTCTATCACAACAACATAATACCGAAGGTGGCATAAAGAGAGACTGATTTATCGGATAAAAAGAAATTAAACCCGTTGGTGAGTAAAAGACCAGCTCTTTGTGCCTTTCAACCATTACAGTGACAGAGTACCCAACGTGCCTTAAATACAAATGTTGGGTAATGGGATAAAATTTAGTTAAAACGGTTGTCTTATAAACGACCTGCTGTTTGCGGCTTTCGTCCATCAGACGTTGAGGAGAACCCAATTTCGTAGAATACAAAATTTTGGATCGGAAAGCATAAAAATTAACAGCCGGTGTCGGTTCTGTTGTATAAAACATCGAAGAAATTGGGAAAGCAGTACTAAACAAAGCCATGCTGGGGCCACCGAAGAGGAAGCGTATTAGGTACTAAACACACAGCCATGTTGGGGCCCGCAGTGATGCGTGTGTTTGAAGACAGGTGGTGACGTCGGAATCGAAGGCAAAAATTTGGTAAAGAAGAAGTCAATGTGGAATAGACAGAGGTGGTGTCTACTGGCGTAAATTTAGGCGCAGGCGGTGACGGTAGATATATCTGAGGAAGGCCCTTGCGAAGCTGTGGTGACACAATGCAGCGGCGTGGAACAGAAGCAGAGAAATCAAAGGTGAGTACTTTTTTGAGTTTTTCCATAACTTTGAAAAATGGAGTAAAATAACGAGTAAAACACCTGTACGTCTACTAGGGTGATTTCTACAGTTCTTGTAAGAGGCAATGATAGAGGAATAAGGAATACGAAGTACGGGGTGTAAGACCCTGCGTCTCCGAACGAAGATGTAACGAAACCGGGAAATTATCGCAGTTTATTTGTGCACGGAGCTTTGTATACGTACGTAGGAAATCTTGGTCCTCTAATTTGTATTAAATAGTGTAAAGGAAATTAAGCAGAAATGAGTGAAGACGTGAAGAAGACGTTGTAACAGGACTAAAGTCTTAAAATAGAGTGATTTGGATGGCCGTGTGGACATCGATAATGGCCCCCATACTGCATTGCGCATGGTTATGTGAAAAGAATTAAAGAAACACACAGTAGAGGTTGAGTTTGTTGGTGTTAATGAAAATGCATGTCGATAGTGGTATTTTGTGCTAAAGGTTGATATAATTGCATCAGCCACACTTATAAAAACTGTGTATATGAATGTTAGAGTAATGTTTATCGTCTGCATTTTGTGAAAGTTGTGAGGTAAAGTATGGTTTGTTAAGTGAAATGATCGTGTATATATGTTTTGTTCCATTAGTAGACGATCAGTATTTATGTTACAAACGAAAGCATATGGGGAGGCTGAAAAAAAAATGTGTAGCGACCATGGTTAGAAAAAGCATTGAACAACCACACAGGGGTTGTAAGTATGGGGCAGGATGGGGTGCTTAAAACTCATGACATGGTGCAGGAAACAGAGAAGGGAAAAATGGGGATGGATGGTTGCGGCAGGTTAATGTCATTTGACCTTAACCAAGAACCTGAGTGTGACCGAGACACATGCAGTGAAGAAAGCGGTGGTTCAATAGGAGGACACGAAGATGAGGAGGCAGATGAATTGGTGGGCGCAATAGGCGTGGATGACGTAATGAAATTAACATTTGACACGGAAGAAGAAGCTGGGGAATTTTATAATTTGTATGCGAAACTAAGCGGATTTGGGATTCGTAAAAGTAATGCCAAACGAGATGAAGATGGCATTTCAAGATTTAGAAAATGGGTATGTTGCTGTGAAGGTTATAGGAATGAAAAGTGGTTTAATTATGAAGACCGGAAAAGAGAAGCAAAAGCAATCACAAGGACCGGGTGTGGGGCTTGCTTTCGCGTGAAATATGACACAGAATCGGTAAAGTATGTGGTGACACGTTTCATTATGGAGCACAATCACCCGCTGGCATCAGAGGTAAGTGTGCAACACCTTAGGTCGCAAAAAAAAGTGAGCGATGCAGAATATGCGCAGGCAAAAAGTCTAAAGTTGGTTGGGGCCAGAATATGCCAGATAATGAAACATTTTGTTATCAAAGCCGGAGGGTATAGTAACGTGGGATTTTGCATTAAGGATCTGTATAACCGAATGGACGAGGAACGTAGAAAAGATATTTTTAATGGCGATGCAGAAGGGGCACTTGGGTTCTTGGCAGCGAAGAAGGATGCCGATGACATGTTCTTTTATAAATATCATGTAGATAACGAAGGAAGATTGGCAAGGTTGTTTTGGGCAGATTCTAAATCTCGTGTGGACTTCAGTGTATTTGGAGATGTATTGGTGTTTGATACAACATACAAAACAAATAAATACCGCAAGCCACTAGTTGTACTTGCAGGGGTAAACAACCATTTGAACAGTACTATTTTCGGCTGTGCACTGTTATCAGATGAGAGGATTGAAACATATGAATGGGTGCTAAGTACATTTGTAGAGGCTATGAAAGGTAGAAAGCCAGTAGCAGTGATGACAGATGGTGACAGTGCAATGCGAAGAGCGATAAAGAATCTTCTCCCGGATGCTTGTCACAGGCTATGTTCGTGGCACTTGCATAGGAATGCACGGAGTAATATTCGCTGCGAGGAGTTTAATAACAGGTTGTATGACCTGATGGCGAGAAAGTTTAGCACTCTTGAGTTTGAGGATCGCTGGGCTAGGTTAATTAATGAATGTGGGGTGGTAGAGAATGAGTGGGTGAAGAAGTTGTACCGTAGGAGAAGGTTATGGGCAGAAGCCTATTTACGCGGTAATTTTTTTGCAGGTATGAGAAGCACTCAAAGGTGTGAGAAAATGAATACTTTTTTGAACGAGTACTTGAATGAAAAAATGCGACTATATGAATTCGTTAGAAGTTTTGATTTGGCAATAGCATGGCTTCGACATACTGAGAGCAAAGCAGTTCACACAAGTGAAAACACAAAACCAGTCTTAACCACAATCCTGCCCGAATTAGAGGCGAGCGCAGCGGAGGTGTTTACAAGGAATGTGTTCTTCATGGTGAGGAAGCATTTGAACAGGCAGGGACTTCTAATTTCTGAGGGCTGGAGCGAGGATGGAGGGAGTCGTACATATTATTACTCGAAATATGGTGGACACGAAATTAGTTGGAGGGTGGTTTATGATAGGTCAATGGAGAAGCTAATCTGCTCTTGCATAAAATTCGAGTCAAAGGGGATTCCTTGTGCTCACATGTTTCGCGTGATGGTGGTAGAAGGAATGAACAGGATCCCAGAAGCATG